TAGGAAGAAGACAGCGCCATCTTTGATTCTAATAATAACGAAACAACAACTGAAAATAATTTAACAATTCAATTTCTTCAAGCTTTAAAACAGGGGTGTCCAACCTGCGGCCCACGATGGCTATGAATGCCTCCCAACACAAAATTGTAAACTTACTTAAAAATGTTTGGGGTTTTCTCTTGGAATTTTTTGAACAAATGTGTTTACACGTAGCAAACACGTGTGGCCGAAACAAAATTTGACAGTGTCTCTTTACTGGACTTTTATAAATTTGATATTCCCAAAGAAAAAATCTGCCGCTTTTCACAATCAAGCCTGATTCATGTCATCAGTTTTCGTCAGGACCTACTTTGTAAGCAGCTATTTTCTATGATGAAGCACATGAAGGGCAAAATTAGAACCAAAATATCTGATAATTATCTGATAATATCTGATAATTAATGATAATTCTGATAATATCTTGAGAATTCATTGAGAATTGCTACTATGTCCATCGAACTAGATATTGATGCGTTAGTTTATCAAAAATTGTGTCAAATATTGCACTAGTTTTTTGCTGCCCTCTTTTACTTTTATAATAAAAAATATTAAAAAAAAAAATTATGACGTTGTATTGCCCAGATAGGAATAAATGTCACCAGCACACCGAGGATCACCAATATGGGTCCAAAGGTTTTAATAAACCATCACATAGTTACAGCAAGGCAACGTTTTGGAGTCTCGCAGGACCCCTTCATCAGGCATGTGATGAAAGGGTCCTGCGAGACTCTGAAACGTTGCCTTGCTGTAACTATGTGATGGTTTATTAAAACCTTTGGACCCATATTGGTGATCCTCGGTGTGCTGGTGACATTTTTTCCTTGCTGATTTTGTTTGGTTCCAGCCGATGGTCACTGCAGCACCCACTTATACACACAGCCATTTTTAACGCAGGAACGTGTGCGTTTGGATCATACACTTGTATTGCCCAGATAGGTACATTATCTATATCAGTGATCGTTAACGTGTGATCTCGCCGACTTTTTCTGCTGATCAGCTAAGCTTATTGTTGGTGTATTTTCTGTGCAGCCCAAGACAATTCCTCTTCTTCCAATGTGGCCCAGGAAAATCAAAAGGTTGGACACCCCTGATCTAAAATGATCAGATTTAAAAGAGATCATTTTCTTATAACACCCATGCTGCAATTATGTTGAAGCAAACTAAAAAATTCTAAACTGTGGTCATATCATTATGGATTTGAATCAGGAATAATCTATTAAAAGTAATTGAAAATGTTGACATTGCCTCATTTTTTCCCCCCATTAAATACATGTATAGGAATAGTAGCCACTTCAAATGAAGCCTTGATCCATTTTTCACTCCCCTGGCCTCTGTAGAGCCAGGTACTGTTTGTAGCCTAGTGGAGCTTGGTACCCTTGTGCTAATCACCCACCCCACCTCTGAGGAGCCATTTGGAATCTTGCAGCAGTGGATTAAACACAGTTCAGATTGAGATAAAGTAGAGCTAGCCATGCACTAGTAGATTTTTTAAAAGTTTATTTATTTTTTACATGGTTAACCGCTTTCCATCCACCCTATAGCAGACGTACTGCTACAGGGCGGCATGGGTGCACAACATCATGTATATAAACGTGAATTTTCATTTCCGCGCCGCAATTCGCAGCCTTGGCTGTCAATCACCGCGTCCCGGCCGGTGATTACTCACCGGCGCCCAGTGATTGCCAAGCATCTCTAACGGGAGGGGGAGAAACTGTTTGTATACAAAACAGTTTTCTCCTCTGTCAGCTTCTGCACGCTGCTTTGCATGGCTGTGCATAGCAGAGCTATGCTAAGCAGTGTGCTTACAGTGAAGCACAAACACAGCCCAGTATGTAAAACAGCACAGAGTTAACCCTTTGATCACCCCTCATGTTAACCCCTTCCTGCCCAGTGCAATTAGTATAGTGTCAGTGCTTTCTTATTAGCACTGATCATTGTATTGGTGTCACTGGGGATGTCAGTGACACCAAGTCAGTTCCCCCCAGTGTCAGAATGCCCGCAGCCCCACAGTCCCACTATAAGTTGATCGCCGCCATTACTAGTAAAAATAATAATAATAAAAAAAATCCCAGTATATATACCACCATTTGTAAACGCTATAACTTTTATGTAAATTAATTTACACGTATTGGGATTTTTTTTAGCAAAGACATGCAGCAGAATACATTTTGGCCTAAATTTATGATGAAATTTTATTTTAACATTTTTTTACTGGACATGTTTAATAGCAAGAAGTCTAAAATATAGGTTTTTTTTCTCAGAATTGTCGTCTTCTTTTTTTTTTGGCACTGCGCAAAAAAAATAAAAAAACGCACAGGCGATCAAACACCACCAAAAGAAAGCTCAATTCATGGGGAAAAAAGGACATACATTTAATTTGTGGGCAGCGTTGAATGACTGCGCAATTGTCAGTTAAAATAACTCAGTGTCGTATCACAAAAAATGGCCTGGTCAGGAAGGGGGGTAAATCCTCTGGAGAGCAAGTATTCCAGCAATTGAGCAGAGTATCACAGAGGTATCACAGTATCACTTATCAATGATAAGCTTCATGATCATGTAGTAGAAATCCAGTTGTTTTGTAGGGTTTTTTTCCGTCTGTGACCCTGTTGGGGACATTTTTACTCAATTCCTGCCCAAAGAAGAACCGAATGGCACTGTATATGATTTTCTGGTGCCAACATGGCAGTGTACATGTCGTAGTACCCTGTCTATTTATGTCCACAGGGCCAGTTCAAAGTTATAAAGAGTTAAAGTGTGACTAAACCCAGGGCTCTGCATTCACTATATCTGCTCTCCCACAGTACACAAAACATGGAAATGCAATTATTTTAGTAAATATAAACTGCTAAATACCTTTTCTCATCAGAAGTTAGAGCAGTCTTGTGACTTCTACCAGTGTCCAGCCGAACACTGGTTACAGCTTGCAGGAAGAGTTTTCATTTTGCTCTAAGAGGATGCAGAACCCCTGACCTCTTTCTGAACAGTGCTAATTGGCCCTGTGCTGATTACATGCACTCTCCCAAGAAGAAAAAAAAAACCTCTAGCAATACGCACCAAACTGAGCATATGCAGAGTGACTCCACACAATATGTCTTATCAGAAGATAAGAGGGGGACACTGGAAGAAGGGGAGGATCAGAGAAGTTAGGATCAAACAGCATTTTTACACAATGCAGAGGATTAACTCCTTAGGTTCCACAGTGAGTATGACGAGAATGCTTTACTGCATATACAGACTGGTATCACTGTTGTGGGTTTCGTAACACTTTAAAGCCCACACAACAGCCCATTCCTTCAGCATTTCTGATGGGCACAGTAGTCCTCACTACAGCTGACTTTGGGGGGGAAGACAGTAGCTTACTCATTTTCTTATGAGATAGGATTTGCCTAAAGTGTTATTAAAGCCTCAATTTTTTAAAATTTAAATAATAAAGATGTCATACTCACCTGCTCTGTGCAATGATTTTGCACAGAGCATCCCTGATCCTCCTCTTCTGGGGTCCCCTGCAGGCACTCCTAGCCCCTCTTTCAGCGAGGGCCACTGTCTATGGGGGCACTTGTGCGGGCTTGCTCATGAGCTGCTTTGTCTGCATCCGTTGGCACAGACAGGGTGGCTCGACCCTGCCCCCTGCTCCCTCGTCACTGGATTTGATTGACAGCAGCAGGAGCCAATGGCTCTTGCTGCTATCAACCTGCTCTGTGAGGAGGTAAAAGAAAACAGGGAGCTGCTGCTCTTGTGCACAATGCTGGATCCAGATCAAGCTTAGGTAAGTATACGGGGGGAGGGAGGGCTGAGGGGGATTCTGCAGCACAGAAGGTTTTTAACCTCCATGTATAGAATGCATGAAGCTAAAAACCTTATTGCTTTATAACCACTTTAGGCTTCCCACCCTGGTAGCTGGCTGTTGGTCTACTGGATGTTTGCTGCCATGTTGGTGCCATAAAAGCTGAATATCACTTTATATACTTACCGTAATTTTCTTTTCCTGGTGCCAATCCATAGAAGCATACTAACTCCCCCCCCCGTTTGTTCCTAGCGACAGTGAATGGGCTGTTCATGGGTGTTAACGCTTCATAGCAGTGGTCACTAAATGGCAGACCGCGGTCCGCGAAGAGCCCGAGCAGCACTGCCGCCAAGACCGCCAGCCTGCAATGACAGATCTGTCGCTGAGCAGGTCGGTCGTCACGGCAAAATGACATCACGTGTGTGTAGTGGCATCCAGAGGCAGGTGCGGGGGTGTGCAGCCGCACAGGGTGACACCGGACCCACTCCACGAGAAGGTAAGTTGTAAAGCAAGCCGAAGATCCCGGCAGGATGGATCCGATCTGCGGCTTGGGGAGCATAATGGATCGGACTCCGATCCATTATGCTCAATCCATAGATCCGAACCAACCAGCCGGGGGGGGGGGGGGGGTGGAACGTCAGCATGCAACCTATACTGGGTGACACCAGACCCGCTCCAAGAAAAGGTAAGTTGTAAAAAAAAAAAACAACGATCCCCACAGAATGGATCGGATCTGCTGATTGAGCATAATGGATTGGAGTCTTATTCATTATGCTCAATCCGCAGATCCGATCCATTCTGCGGGGATTGTCAGAGGGGGTGTCACCAAGTGTTATCGCTCCGGGTGACACCAACCCTAGGGACGCCTCTGCGTGTGCGCCCCGCCCCTTCAGCTCATTGTTTCTCCGGCTCCCACTCCCTGCCTGTACACAGGCATCCTTCAGCAATGATCCTGGCACAGCTCCTGTCTGCCCTCAAGGTAGGGTGTAGTCTTACAGGGGCACTCTGATGGGCACATTGGATGTTAGGGGGCATTCTGATGTGCACAAAATAGAATGTGCCCATCAAAGTGCCCCTTAACATAAACTGTATCCATCAGAGTGCCCCTTAACATAAAATGTGCCCATCAGCATGCCCCTTATTTTATGTTAAGGCGCACTCTGATGGGCGCATTTTATGTTAAGGGGCACTCTTGGGCACATACTGTGGAAAGGGGCACTCTAAGGGGCACATGTGATGTAAGGGGGCACTCTGATGGGGAATATGATGTAAAGGGGCACTCTGATGGGGAATATGATGTAAAGGGGCACTCTGATGGGGATACCTAATGTAAAGGGGCACTCTGATGGGGACAACTGATGTAAAGGAGCACTCTGATGGGCACACCTGATGTGATGGGAATACATGATGTAAAGTTGCACTCTGATGGTGACACCTAATGTAAAGGGGCACACTCTATTTGGACGTCGGCCAGAAGAAAATTTTAGTGACCGGACCTCTTTGAATTTTAATTTAATACCCCTGCTTTATAGCTTTCCACTGCTCCTGTGGGCGGAAGTAGGTGAGGTTACTACCACATATATGCTGTAACGGATTGGTGCTACAATTTTCTTTTTTTATCGGGGTACGTTGGACAGAATTCTCAATACTTCCTGTCTTAAAATGTGAAGAAATCTCCCCAAAGGGACTTAGATGGCAATAGAAAATTGAACAAAAATCCTAACTCTTTCCCTCTGCGTCCAAAATAAAAGTTTTGTTTGGATCTGGGCAATCATACGTCTGTCTTTGCAGTCTATATAGAGTATACCGTAGACCTTCAACAAACATAATAAACATAAGAGGCCTCCCTCGCAGAATAAATGTTATACATTTTGTGGCAGCCATGACTCAGGCAATTGAAACATCTCAATAAATAGCGGATGTTCTTAAGAACACAGTAACAGAAAAAAGAAAATTGGCTCACTTTTATTTAAATCCTCCCACTATGAATTACAGGGCTGCATTTGTCTATTACAAATCTTGGCTTCTCATACGTGAACTATTATATGGTTTTCTCTTCCCCATTTTGCTTGTCAGGTGCATAGACAAAGCACATCTATCCCAGGCTGATTACACTGCAGGTCCCTGAGTGCTTTCCAGCTTTCATCTGAATGCATTTTCAGTAATGGCTGCTGGATTGCCATACATCCCAAACATCATATACATATTATTTCTACTCAAATACATATTTACGTTGGTTACATCTTGCTGCTCCATTCAAAGTTTTGTTGACTGCAGTGTTGTGTATGCACGAAACAGACGTCACAGTTAAAGCAAAAAGAAACTTTTTTTTTGTTTAGTCTTAGAGTAGTGAAGGATTAGAACACCTGTCAGGTTTTTATTGCTGTCTGCGCCGCCATTAGGGAGATTCACCCTCTCTATGTCCTGTTTACCATTATCATCAAAAGCGATAGTAAAGAACATCCCAAATTTTGGATTGTCCCCAGAAAAGTCATAGAGGAGAAATCTTCCAATGGGGACACTAGTTCTGGTGACACAACCCCACTGCAAGGGGGGACTTTTACTTTTCCTGGAGTTCAGTTTTAAAGTGGTTGTAAACCTCAGGCATGAAATATGAACAAAGCATATCCTTCTATAATGTGTACTTGTCTCAGTGCAGAGCAGTCTTTTTCAACCTTTTTTCAGTCAAGGCACTCTTTAAAATTATGACTATCTTAAGGCACCCCATGTAACAACATCCATACAGGTAGAGGTGATTTATTCTTCCAAAGCAAACCCAAACACACATTTGCACACTGGTACTGACTAGTATTCCAATGTTTCTCTTCTCCCCTAGTTTCTCTCCCTTAATCAGCTAATGTGACCCCAGTTCTAACGCAGAAAGGCAAACAAGGATGCTGTGCAGGTACCCAACATCTTCCTTATCAATGGATGACGTCATTGGTTGTTAGGACACTGGTGGCTAAAAGGTTGTAATGGTGCACAATGAAAAACCCTTGACTTTGTGTAATTAAAAGGTAGGCTTGATTCACCCACTAGCCTGTTTACAATTTTTGGGCAATTTGCCATACCACCCCTAAAGAAACATAAAGGCACCCCAGGGATCATGGGCACCCTGCTTGAAAAAGGCTGGTAGAGCACTAAGTGTCATTTCTGTTTGCTGCTTTGTTCCTTTGCTGTCACTTTTGACAAGTTTTCCTGACAAGAGAAAAAAGGTGACAGGGGAGGAGCTCCATCTGATTAACAGCCTCAACTCTATTCCTTTGAGCTGTGTGAAGGGAGGGGGGTGTCTCTTCCTTCCAATCAGTTCTCAGCTCTCCTAACTGAGCTCTTCAGAGTGTATCTTCAGCTCCTCACCCCGTTTTCTGAAAGATCAGGCGAGATGTATAAATTCTGCACTTTGAGTGGCTGTAGAGAAGAGAAGACTCCAGATAGGCAGGTACAACTTATGTAGGAGGATTTGTTTAATCTATGTGTATCACATGATGCCAGTCACTTCACTGTGTATATGCAAGGGTTTACAACCACTTTAAAGAATAACTCTGCTTTTAATTAGGAAAAACACATTGCCCTCTGAGTAATTTAGTATGTACATTGTGGGGATTTTAACAAACTTTGTTGCAGATTCCTACCTTTTATTATTCTGAAGCAATAGCTGTATGTTTGTCTGTGTCCATGTGCAAAGTGAATCTGTATAGGAGTGGTTTTATAACTATCAGTCTGTTGCTGCATCTGCAGGGCTCTAATGAGGAATGTGGTAGGGTCTGTATCACTGTAGATGTGATTTCCCTTTGAAAGTATCTCACTAAAAATAGCACTTTTATTGCAGTGGATACCCAAATCTGACATGTATCTTGGTGCAGAATTCTGGGAAAATCAGCAAGCCATCCACTCAAGCACAAAAATTACATTTCTGGGGGGGCACTCTGTACACCATCTGTAATGCCTCCAGGTAGCTATTTTACAGAAATTCACAGTGCTGCAGATTGAAAGGGAAAGGTAATTGTTAATAACATTCAATTACAATATGACTTAAGTCGTAATTATATACACTATATTTTTTTTTTCTAATTTTTTTTCCCGCCACAAAAGTAGAGTTGCCCTTTAAGGCAATTCTATAAGACATCCAACTCAGCAATGCAATTCAGGATAAAAGAAAAGACTCCAAATACCATAACTCCATTGAGAGATACAAGTAAATATTTATCCATCATGCCATGTCATCAGGGAAGTGTGTGATTGGCACAAATGTATTCTGCAGCAGGACAAGGACCCCAAACATACAGCCAATGTCATTAGGAACTATCTTCAGTGTAAAGAAGAACAAGGAGTCCTGGAAGTGATGGTTTGGCCCTCACAGAGCCCTAATCTCAACATCATGCAGTCTGTGTGGGATTACATGAAGAGACAGAAGGATGTGAGGCAGCCCACATCCATAGAAGATCTGTGGTTAGTTCTCCAAGATGTTTGGAACAACCTACCTGCCGAGTTCCTTCAAAAACTGTACGCACAAGAACTGTGTGCACATAGAAGAATTGATGCTGGTTTGAAGACAAAGGGTGATCACACCAAATGTTGATTTGATTTAGATTTTTCTTCTGTTCGAACAATTAAAATATATATTTTTAAAAGCATTTACAGATTTTTTTCATACCTGCCTAAAACTTTTGCCCAGTACAGTCACGGCCAGAAATAAGGGCACCCCTGCATTTCTGTCAGATAATGCACCACTTCGCCCAGAAAATTGTTGCAATTACAAATGTTTAGGCATTCTCATGTTTATTCTTTTGTTTGTATTGGTATGACCCAAACATAATGGAGAAACAAAAAGCCAAATCTAAAACAGTCCATGCAAAACCACAAAAATGGACTGGAGAAAATTGATAAAGTATATTCTTAAAGCGTCGCCTATGGATATTTTTAATTACCATAGCTTGTCACCATTCCACGAGCATTTGCAATTTTAAAGTGTGACATGTTAGGTATCTATTTACGCGCCATAAAATCATCTTTCGTATTTTACAAAAAAAGAAGTCTATATTGTATTTTTTTTTCTAGTTCATTAAAGTGTGTTGTGTTTGAAAAACCGCTGTACAAATACCATGTAACATAAAAAATTTAAATGATCGCCATTTAATTCTTAAGGGTCTTTGCTAAAAAATATATATAATGTTTGGGGGTTATAAGTAATTTTCTAACACAAAATACTGATTTAAACTTGTAAACAAAAAGTGCCAGAAAATGCTTGGTCTTCAAGTGGATATTTATTTATTTATTTTTTTCTGTAATTTTTATTTGTGATATAATGTAATGCTCAACTATTTAAATTTTTTTTAAAATAAATGCCAACATTGGGTGCTATAGACAGTTTCTTTAGGGTAAGATTGCGAAAGTGCAGAGATCTTTAGTTTGATATAGAAAATTAAATACACAAATAAATCCTAGATATCTGTTACTTGTGTGATGTCTAAGACAGGCACACTTTGGGTTGGGTCCTTCACCTTTTAGATTTAGTAGTCAGCCTGGCACTGAAGGTACAGTACTTCTGTGACAGAGAAGCAGAGACATCTAGTGGTTAGAGAATCACACTGCAGCAACTAGGGTGTAGTACAGGATAGTCATATTAGAGGTAAATATGTATTTTATTAGATGTATCAGAAAAGAAGAGAAAAACACATACATGTTGTGCCAAGCCAATGTAAAAGGAGCACAAACAATATGTATAATTAAAGTCTGTGACTCAGAGGTAAAAACAGAGAATATAACATATGAAGTCCCTGTGGGCGTTCCGTGGGTAGAAACAGCAGGATAGTGTCCGCAGGAGTTTACCGGCTGAGAACATCAGATGGCTCAATGATAAAAGCGGGGATTGCAGGGGATGAAAGCTGAGCAGGAACAAGAGAGATAGCCTGAGAAAGCTAAAGAGGGGGAGAGAGATGGAAAGAAAAAAAAAGGGGGGGGAGGTGGTGGGTTGGAATGGAGTGGGAGGGCGAGAATCAGGATCTAAATGGGGAGTGCTAAACTGAGGAAAATCAAAATAAAGGGTTTGAGCAGACATGGACATGTAAACTAGATGTTAGGGGAATGAACAGGCTGAGACCAATTGGGGGGCGGTGAAATGTGACAAAAAACTGTCCACAACTAGCTCATCTATCGATGAAGATGAGGCCTCAACAGTTTACAGGATAGTCATATTGTTCACAAGGACATGGTGTCAAATGTAAAAATAAACTGTATAAGCACCACAAAATGTAACTATGGCATCAGAGAGTATCACCTGGTCTGGATCTACTGGACTAACTTCTAGGTATCTAGGAATGGTTCACCCACACAGAAATCACAAAACCTGAAAAAATCTGCTGAACAAGTGATCATATACCAATGGATCTCTGAAAACTAAAGACTGTAGTGGACTCAGTAGTAATATCAGCTGATATGCTTACAATATATTTTAGACACTAGTAATGGTCTTATGATTCTTAAAAAAAAATTCTTACTATACATTGTCCCCTTTAAATTCCTCTAAATCTAAATATCTATTCACATTGTGTCACTTTTATGGTGGTATGATTATAGTTTATGTTCTCTAATAGTCTTTTTTA